TGTAAGAAATTTACCTGGAATTAAAAAACACACTCAATACATAAAGGATAGAATTAGTTGGTTACGGAATAATATAGATAATATTATTAAATCAAAACGAGAAGAGATTTCTAGAACACCGATTGATCAAAATTTAAAATCTGACATGTTGACAATGTTTTTAACGGTGAACACTGAAAGAGATGTTACCGAAAGGATAACCAATGTCTGATAAAGATGTTCAGGAAAATTTTATTGAAGTTTTGAGTGCCGGTATTCATACGGTAAATTTTATTATATTCATAACCTTTTTCCTGTAAGTGTGATAATATTTATTTCTTTATTTATTTACAAAAATAATATTATTCCTTTGTACAGAGTTCAAATTCCATGTGCTTTTTAGTTAATTTTTTGGAAAATAATCCGAAAGTAAAACAACGAATGATAGAAGAAATTGAACACGTTCTTGGCAAAGATCCAAATTCTTCATTTACATTAGAAGATTTATCAAAACTTGAATATGTTGAAGCTGTCATCAAAGAAGGGAATTTACATTTCAGATCATTATTATTATTACTATGGTAATAACAATAATATTAACTTTTGATATCAAATATTCTATAATTGCAGCATCAAGAGTCAATGCCATCACCCCATTATTTTTTAAAAAGAATTCAGTACCAGAAGTTATAGGAGGTTATAAATGGTCCAAGGATACTTATTTTGGATTAAATATTAATGGAATTCATAAACACAAATCTTGGAAAGATCCCGAAACATTTAATCCCGATAGATTTATGGATAATCCAGAGAGAAAAAATAAAGTTTACATGTTTGGTGGAAGTTTGAGAAAGTATAAGTAATTTCATAATTACGAAAGAATATAAAGGTAAGTATATGAAATAAAATAAAATATATCTAATTTACTATCATTTATCTACTGCAGGTCCAAAAAGAAATTTGGCAATGATGGAATTAAAAGCTATTCTAGCAATGTTGTACCGAAAATACGACATTGAACTGTTGGAACCATTGAAAGAACATATTGGGATATTTAGGAATTGTGATGAAATGAAGGAAAAAGAAAAACGGTAACATGTGATAAAAAAGTTATTGATTGTATAAATTTTTCAAATTCTAATAAAACGTCACGATAATAAAGGATCTTTATTAAGCATCACATGACATGATTTTGTCCAATTATGATTTATATATTTAATAAATAAAGTTTTTATGCTGCAGTATTTCAATAAACAAAGGAATAAGAACTTATATCAGTTTCCACCACAATTAAAGCTTCTGAAAGAGAACGCACCACAAAGTGATTAAGTGAATTTTGGGAAAATCAGATGTTCAAAGATTTTATTTACAATTTTTCTGATCAGGTGATTCTCCTTTTAGCCAATTATAATTCGATTAATTTTTTTCGGAAATATATTTTTAACTACTGAAACCCACCACCTTAAAACTCATCTTATTTTTTTATGTTATTTTATTTTATTTTTTCTTGTTGTTTGTTTAATAAAGAATAACTTTAACTAGTAGTCATAAGTTCATTATCTATATATTTATATTTGTGTAATGGACTAAGTTCAATTTTCGCAATCGGCGGTTATGATAAATATTTAAAATATTTAAGAGAAAAAAAGATAAATCTAAAAATCCTATACATATAAATAACTATTATAAACTTCTTACATAGAGGATATATGTAGAAACGACTTTAAATAAAATCAATTTACAAGTGCCCTGCACTATTTCAATAAAATTCTACTTAAATACACTAAAATTGATTAATTCATGATATTATTTTCTATTAAGGTATATATTTTTTTTTCTTTTTTTTATTTTGTTTACGAGTGACCACCTTCCACTCTTCTTCACCACTACTATTATTACTACTTGAATCGCCACCACTATTATTACTACTCGAATCAGAACTGTCTTTTCTAAGACAAGCAAATGCATGATCATTTCGATGAAGTTGTTTATTATTTTTATTCACATTACTACTCAAATCCAATTTGTGATTCTCTTGAGTGTTTTGCAACTTAACTTCACTATATTCTAATGATTCTTGTTCACTTGATTCACTAACTTTCGTTGATGTATCATCATCTTCATTACATTCATCTTCACTGTTTTCTTCTTCTACTACCACAAAACTCTTTTGACGTTCACGTTCATTCCAATGTAAACACCGTGAAATTGAAGAGAACCAATCTTTTGATTGTGATTCATGACAGACTGTTGGAAAAGGAAATTTGGATGGTGTGACTTTTATATGATCCCCCTCTATAAAAGAAAATCATTAGTATTATACAATTACAAAACCAAAGATTAATGATTTATAGACAAAATACTTACGTTTTAATT